AAGGATGAAGTGGATGAGCTGACAGAACTATTCATTACTAAACTGATTAACGAGGATTGTTCAAGTGCTGAAAATCAAGCAAAAATATCTTCCAGTGTAAATAGTGACTTGCAGGAGACCAGCTCTTGCTCCTCAGAAAAGCAAAAATCAAACAATATGAAAAGAGCAAACAAAGAGAAGAATGTGTCTCAGAATAAGAGGAGGAGAACCGAAAAACCTGAGGAAGTGCTGCCAGTTGACGCGAGCAGCACACACAGGGAGGAGGAGACGGCTGTCGCCATTCAAACGGCCGAAGAGCAGCCTGCACCTTTCGACTGGAGCTCATTTAAGCCAATGGGTTTTGAAGTGTCATTCCTCAAGTTCCTTGAAGAGTCGGCTGTGAAGCAAAAGAAAAACACCGAAAGAGACTACCACAGCAGCGGAACCAAAAAAGGGTCCCATTCGAACTCGCGCAAATCCAGTGAGAAGACCTCTGTAGCAAGTAATAATGTCACTTGGTCATGCTCCGAAACTGAAACCCTCATACCCTTTGCCAACCCCTTCCGGCTTCCTGGTGGTGATAACGTAAAGATAGTTTTGGACAAGAGTCTTAAAGACTGCACTGAGCGGGTGTTGAAGCAACTTCAGGAAATGAAACCTGTCATCGGGTTGGGGAAGCTCGAAGGACAGGGGAAGGATAATCCAGAGGTTTGAGCAGCAAAAGTGACTGGTATGGCTCCTGAAAAAGAGTAATCAAAAGAAAACCTAATGTTTAACCACGACCCATCATAAAATTTTATTTTGAACAGGGAGCCATCAAGCATGCTAGTAACTGTGGAGCTCTTTCATTTTGAAGTGATCAATCTAGCAAAAAACATGACATGAGTCATGTAAATTTCTTATTTGTTTTTATCCCTATGGGACTTGAAGAACAGAGTAATTGCTTCAGTTTTGTAAATACTTGATCAAAACCTCAACTTTCTATCGGATTGTCCTTGCCATGAACTAAATCTTTGTGAGTTGTCTGTGATTGGTATCTTTCACCAGGTCACTGCTCATGTATAACAGTACTCTTTATTTGTAGATACATTTTTTGTATATATTTATTATTGTAAATCATTTGCTGCCACCAGCAGTCTGTAAGTCTAAACTATTAAATGACACATTTATATTTGGAATTTTAATTTGTAACTAAGTGAGCAAGTTTTTACAACTGTCCTTAAACCATTTTAAATTAAGAACTTTTGAACTAAAACTAGCTAAGTCTGCCATATCCAGTTTATTTTGCATAAAGCATTTATTTACAGGAGAGGAGCTGGATAAGATCACATTTCATAGGTTATATGTACTGACACACTCTCATTTTTGTAAATTTTAACATCCAGTATCTATGGATGATATTCATATGTAGTTAACTCATAAATATAATAGTTTTCTTATAGGTACATTTTTCATTGCTTTTAATTGGATACAAAGCATTTATGATTCCATAATAAATATGGAAATGTGAATAAAAATAGTTTGCTACGTTGGAGATTTAAAACAATATTTGGTATTAAAGAATCTGTTGTGAATGTGATAGAAAATTAGTAGTGTGGAGCAGTGTATATATTTGAGGTGGTGATTTGTGAAGTAGCCCAGTATTGCCTTAAATAAAATCACATTTCATTTCTTGTTTTATACATGTGATCTTATAAAGGTTATTTTTGTTTCTGTAACTTAGATTGGTGTATAGTTTAATTTTTGTTAAAAAAACAAAACAAAACAAAAAATCTTCAGAAACCGTTTTTGTAAATAGTTGGTTTATAAAACAGATGGTTTATTTTGATAATACCAGTTTGGTATCTATCTATAAAATACGCGAGTCCTTATGCCATACCATTAAAAACTGAATAAACAAGGCACTTTCTGAAAGGGAAGTGAGATTGTGATCTTACAGCTGAACTGGGTGGTTGTGCTCTCTTGGTGGCACGGGCTCCTCCGCGCTTCTCTGCCTCTCACTGACTCCCCGGCAGCGCTTGCCACCTCTCTCTTCCACATAGGATTGAGCCCCGGACGCGGTGCTGCTGCAGTACCCCGTATCGGAGCGATTCCTCCGTGTGCTGCTAGCCCAGACAACAGGTATCCGGGTTGTTGAGTAACCAAAAGTGTGAATGCGTTGGTGGGAGCTGTCAGGACCCAGAATCTCCCATGCTGGTTTTCGTGCGTGATTGTGCGTAACTCAGATGGGATGAGCCAGCTGGATTGCGTGGTACCAAAAATTTTTCTTGGATTTTTCTCACTACTGGATGTGACCTACCTTCAATAATATAAAATAGTCTTTATCTTGGGAGAGATTGGCTGGAGTTTTTTTTCTATGAACTTGTCTTGCCATGTAAAGCTTTGCATTAAATGCTACACTTGATTGCTCTTAAGCTATTCACCTGGAATCTGTGACAGTTTACTTGAATGTCAATGCAGAGGGCGTGTTCCTGCAACCAAATGAAGTGACTTCTTGTGCTGGTGAGGATTATGTATGGAAAAGTAGAAAGGTGACAGCATTTCAACCTGGGCACAGCCTGTGGTTTAGTATCTGGTGCTAAATCGCGTACCTTCTCAGAAAACCCATGCTTCCACTTGAACGGAGCCTGTTCCCTCATCTCACTTCCAGTCTTTCCCGAGTGAGTGAACTGATGCTTCTGCCAGGTCTGTAAATCAAAGGCGCAGTCTGAGAATGAGCCAAAACAAAACCTTGCATTTTAACTCTAGGAGAGAGCTTTGTGGTAGTTATAAGTGCATGGTGCCGTGTTCTACCTCCCAGAGGTTGCATGGTCTCCCTGGCCGTGTTGGTGTTGGATGCAGCCCTGGTGATGTAGAGGAGATCTTCTGCAGGGAAGGAAAGGCAGGGAACCTCCTCTGGAGGGGATCCGCAGGGGGAAGGGAAGGAGCCAGCAAAAGACCAAAAGCTCTTTCCAGAAAGGAAGCGAGTGTTTGTTCTCAGGTTAGGTAAAATCTGACAGAGCTGCCTTGTGTTGTGGTCGTCGTCTTTCTTAGCAGCTCTGTCAAATGCTGGGTTTGCAGCACATGAGCTAAAAACCACTCGGTTTGTTATGAGTGAGTCAGGGATTATGCAGAGTGAGTCCATAAGAATTTAACGAATATTTCTCATGTAAGGTACTGGCTTTGTCAAAACTGAAGTATCCTCCAAGACTTGAAACCTGTTGATTTTTTTAATTTATTTATTATTTCATGGCTGTTGAAGATAGAATTAGAAATAAAACCTTGAATATACATTCCAAAGAATTAAAGTTCTTGTTTCACAGGAAAATTTTTGGTCCAAGCGGGAAGCTCTGACCAGCCACAGAACTTTAGGGGATGGTCTAAACCCCTTCAAGCTCTGACTTAACATATTTTTTTATATTAGAAAGCACCTAGTACACAAATTTAATCAGAAACCTGTGTTGGCTAAACTGTGTTTGCTTGTCTTCGTTTTCTCTCAAATAAACTTTTAAAAAAAAAAAAACTTTTTCATTAATGTTCCGTCTTAAAATCTGTCCTCAATAATTAAAAACAAAGCATTTGGAAGCACTTTTTATTTTGTCTTAGAAATGCATTAGGGTACAAAAGGGCCAAGATGACTTTGGGGTTTGTTCTCAGTCACAGTCACGCGGGGCTGATGGGCCGCAGTTCTGCTTCATGCACTGCGTGGTGGGTTTTGGCCAGGAGCTGCCAATCCTCACTGTGTTTCTGTCATGAGCCACGTTCTGTGTGTGTAGAGAGTTAAGAGGAAATGTTCCCAATTGTAATGTGTGTTGTCTCGATGTACACGCTGATTCTGCATCACTCTGTGTGAAACTAACTGGCCACGAGCTGGTACATGAGGGACTGCAGCAAATGCGTTTTCACCTTTTATAAAAACGGGTTTATTTTGGCATAAAAGCTTGAACATCACACAATTTATTCATTAGGTTTTGAAGTTAATTCCCTAACTGCTACCCCAGTACTTGTAAAAGCAATGTTTTATAACAAAAGGGTTTTTGGAGTGGAAAAAAAAATAGGTGACGTGCTTTTGCTGCTGTCTCCTCCTCTTTATCGTGGCACAAACAATAAAGTTGGTTCAGCATTCAGGCAGCTCCACTTTCTGCAGGCAGTGTTTTTCTCTTGAGGGTGTGTTTTGGTCAGGCTCAGTACTGCTGTATGCCCGAAGGTCTTTCATCCCAGCAATGCAAAGGGAACAACAGTTTCTCTCACCTCAGAAGCCTGGGTTCAGGAGAAGGACAGAAGTCAGCTCACATGTGTCCTTTCCTGGCAGCCCAAGTGACACAGAACAAAGAGCAGAGATGGGGTGTTTAAGAGATCGTAAAATTTGGGGTGGATAAATTACTGGTTTTTACTTTGTTTCTACTGGAGGCTTTTTGTATTTCTAGATTTCACGTGTTCTTCTATGGCAGAGAAATCTACTGATAAACAGCTAAATAACCAGGTCTGACCTTATTCCCACGGGATAAACTAGATGTGTCTGCCTCTTACTGTTCCTTTTTTTGAGAAGTCTCTCAGTAGGCCAGCAGAAGGGGCTTGTGACCATCTAGCCACCCTGTGCCACGCGCTCCAGTCGCCATTTCAGCACTGATCAGAGCCACCCACCTGACGAATGCTGCCCATCCTCTTGCTGTTCAGCGCCTTGATCGACCCCACGTTCTTCCAGCTCTACACATGAAAGGCCTGTTTTTGTTTGTACCAAAGCAATTCTGTGTAATGTTTAAAACACAACTGTTTGAGCAATTGTTTCAGCATGATTTATCATAAGCATCTGTTTATATTAAAGTTTCATGGAATTTTCAGCCTTCTGTACCTCTTGTTTCAACATGAAAAGATCTGTATTGTTCTATATGTGGCATTCATAATGCGATTGAATTTATCCACTCAAGTAATAGAGGAAAAAATGTATCCCACAACTGTCCTTTTAGTTGTGAAAGCACTGATTGGAAAAGGAATTCATCAGATGCAGGTTGTGTGATGGGAAGGTGGTCTCTGGCCTTTTTTCAAGTCAATGGGGAACTTTTTTCATGTTCATTTTGGGTATTCAGAGGCGAGGATGGGGAGTTGTTGAGGAACCGTCCTGCAGCTGCTGGTCTGTGGTGACGGATGATTTCTGATTGGCAGCAATCACTTTTTGAGTCCTGGTGTTTCTTGATATACCTCTTCAGATAACATTTTATGGAGTATTTGAAAATGAGATAGCTCAATTCACTTAGATTTAATAAAATGCACAGGCATGAAGTTGCCACCAGAAAATAAAGGAAAATCATCTTCTCTGTGGGCTTGGAAATATAGCAGTCTACAGTATTGGGACATGGTCTCATGTCACATTTCACAAGACGTGGTACTTTGAATCCATTGTACAATTTATAAAACAGAACAAGAAAAACTATTTCAAATCCTGTTTTTAAAATGAGGCTGATAAGGTAAGTGCACAGCAATCCGCCGTCTATTTTTCCTGGACTTTTATAAAGTTTCTGGTTGTGGTGTTTCTCTCTGTTCTCTCGGTAAGCAACATGAAAAACCACCAAGAGAGAAGGGGTGGAGACCATGATTAATTGCAAAGCCCAAAGTCTGATGTGGGAGACAGGGAAAAAATGGTCAAAGCAGACGTTTTCACAGCCGGGCTGCTTGATGTTGCACTCAAATTCATCGTGCTCGTATTTCCAGATGTTTTCTGCGGCCACAATGTAAACCAGTAACCGGAATAAGAACACAACTGCTACCCAAATTCTTCCAATTCCTGTTGAGTATTTATTCACTCCACTCAGCAGATCACGTATGAATCCCCAGCTCATTTTTCTCCTCAAGGAAAGAAGGAAATGCTGTACCAAATAAAATGAGACATTCGTTCAAAGTGAAATATAACCGGTAGCTGAAGCAATTTAAAATTATTGAGCATTTAAAAAGGAAAACAACAAACTGCTCTTAGTTCTGGTAATTTGTACCTTCTGAGGCTATTACACAAAATCGATTTGCTGTTAAAAGAGGTTTTGTCAGTTATGCTGAGGCCTAATAATCCTGTAAAACTGTCCTCTGCAAGTAAATGTGCCTGTTCTTCCCAAGGGTCTGCTGAGCACCAGGTAGAGCTTTCTCTGGCAAGTTCAGGGCAGCCCTCTGCCACCGAGGTACACTCAGCTTAGCCCAGCAGTTGTGCAAATACCGATCACAGTCAAATCAGATTTCGCATTCAAATCTATGCATAGGACCCATGTATCCCGTAATAAGTTGAACAGCAAAATGCAAATTGTTTTCTTTTTGTCTGTGGTCTAATGTTTTGGTAAACCTGTGCAGTATTTTAAATCCTGTCCTGCTTAATTGGGTTTTATTTGTTGTATTTCATATTTAAGAAATACACTAAATTTACCCCCAAAATGTTTTCATGTTATAGTTTCTTTTCTGCACAAGTTTTCCCCTGACCTAATTCTGGAACGCTTCTTTTGGAAGAGCTGCCTAAGGAGCCATTGGCAGCCAGACCCTCCTCAAAGTCAATGGAAGACCTGAGATAACCACCAGGAGCGTGCATCACCTTCCCACCTGGCCCCACCTCTGAGGTCTGCATGGGTCTTTGAGAATACCGAGCTCCTCTGTTTTGTAAGAGCAAAAAGTAGATGTATTCTCAGGACACAGAATGGCTGGGAGACATGAGGAGGGACATCTTAGAAGTTTCCAGATCTGTGTGTCCTGTGTTTTAATGTCCTCATCCCATCTACTACTCCTGCAAGCCCTGCCTACCAGGAGGAAAAATGCAAATCCCGCTGCCACTGCCACGCTGCAGTTAGCGCTGATGTACCAGCACGTTCCTCAGCTGGCAGCTTTGAGTATGAGCAGTAATCAGGCCATGGCATTGCAAAGCCTAACACAGACAGAAAGCTCAGGACTTCTTTTGCTGTCCCTTAATACTGCAGCCCATTGTGATTTCTGCCTATGGCCAGACTTCTGCTGGAAAACAAGGTTATTTGCTTATTTGGGTATTCTTACCCAGGTTGCTACCATTAGAGCTGGTAACTTACTTGAGGAGCCAAAGGGCAGCTGCAGAAATGAATATATTGCTGATTTATACTGGGAAGGATGTTGAAAAAAGGTGTTCCCACAATTGTGGTTACAAGCTACTCCTTATGCTGCAAGTAAAAAAGAATAGTGGGAATATCAGTTGGTTTATATGCTTTTAAATATGTTTGGTAGGGCGGTGACTTTGTCATTAAAGAGCTATTTCTGTCCTCCACATCTGCAATTAGAGCTCAAGCAGAAGCTTAAATTGCGCTCTTCAAGACATCAGCACTAGGGCTTTAACGCTTTCTAGAAAAGTAATACACAGTCAATACATCAGTCTCAAAGGAGCTGAATAGCAAAGCATGAAGATGCTACTGTGGAATAAAGCATGGGCAAGGAAACAAAATGTTCGCATGAGCGAGTGTGACTATTAATGTGTATTAACACATCAGATGGATGAGCTGTCCTCTGCAGGAGATCTGAAGGAAAGCTCCAAAAGGCCTTTCCTAGGATTTCAAGATCTGTGCAAGCACTGTAGAAGGGAAGGCTGAATTTTGTTATTCCTTGGAAAACAAGTATGGCTGTGAGTGGGCTTTTGCTGGTGGCTATAAGGGCAGGTTTTGTGGCCAGTGGTGCTCCTGCAGCCAGAGTCTGCAGAGCTTTGGTTATATTTTTCCACTTGCAGCCTTCACTTGATGTTGAGGAATGGTTGTACAGGACAACCTTCAGCTGCAAGCTTAAAGGGCCACGTAGCCTGTTTCATGGTACTATCTCGACTGTAACCAGCACAGCTCCTCTGTTCAGAGGAGCTGCAAATGTGCTTTTAAAAGGTTATGTTTGCTTTATGCGCCCCTGTTGCTATAGAAGTTTGTGAATGTTAACTGATGCTTTGAAAATACCATTAATTCACTCAAGCATTGCAAAGAACATATGGAAGGGAAAAAATAAAATGGACTTCAAAGATAAGGGGTTACTCAACAGGTGAACAAGGGAAAACTGACTTCTTGGGACAGCACAGTCACAGGCTGATGAGAGGTTAAGTTTGCTGAGCCTAGAGAAGACAAGGACACTGTATGGGCTGTACGAAATTCAGAGCAAGGTTCAGAAAACAAAAAAAGAAATCTTCAAGTAAACACACAATTGAGCAGTAGGAATAAGATGACGGTGGTATGAGGGTTTGTAGCTTTTCCAGAAGTAGCAGCACATGTGGAGGCAGATGCCAAGAGTAGCACCAGGGCATGAAGCTTTACCAAAATTATATTCTGACTAATGCAAGGACAAGAGAGGAACAAATGTGATCCAAATCCTTGTAGCCAGAGAGATTTCAACCTTAGCATTCAGAGGAGGTTCATTTTGTGCAGAAAGGGAGGGAAGAAAGGAAGCTGGCCAAAGAAATTGAGTGGATTGCGGAAAATGTGGATGACATCAATTTGCTCCAGGATAATGTTCAACATTGAGGCTAACAATGAAATTGCTCAGAGGTTTAAAAAAGCAATAAAAGGGTCAAAGAGGTGTGTGTTTGGCACTGTGGGTATGAAGACCACAAAAAGACTTGGCCTCTACTGGAAATTACAAAGGAGGCACTAGAGAGTCTTAAGCAGTAAAAGTAAGAATATTTGTTCTGAGTGCTCAAGAAAAAGTTGAACAGAGCAAAAAGTGAAGAGCAGGAATCTGAGGTTAGGTTTACTTCAACCTCCTGCTCCATACACACACACACACACCCCCACCCCAACTTAAACAAAGGTAAGGATTAGAGCTACATTGGTTTGTTGTACTCATTTCTAGCTGAAGTACTGGAGATGAGCATGAAAACGAGTGCCTGGGCTTCTACTGCCAGCCAGGAAATGGAGCAGGTAAACTCTCTTCTTCCTTACATACATCATTTATTCCCTAGGTGTGACTTTAACACCCCACCACCACCACACACACACACTCAGATGACCAGAAGAGCCTCCACACCCCTCGTTTCCCTCAGAGGTATCAGTGGTTTGGTTTCCCCCTCAAGGCTGCACATGTACTCTGCTGGGTAAACGGAGCAATCTGAATGCACCATTAACTCCTGAGTGTGCTAAATTAAATTTATTGAGTGGAGTGTTTGAATAATGCTATCGTTGTTGAGTATATTCATCAAATAATCATTTCTGTCATTCAGTGAGGCCTACAGAAGGTTGGATAATGTGCAGTGAGTAATGCATCCACTGAAAAGCATAGTACTCAGAGAATTAGTTCACCTAGATTCCAATCAGCTCTGCTAATTTAATTACTTTAAAAGCAGAAAAGGTATCTTTGTGCAGAGGAAATGGAAAAAAAAAGTAATTAAATACAAGAACAAACTGACTTAGTAGTGAGGAAGTGCAGAAAGCATCCAAAGTGTAAGGGGCACAAAGGGGGCAGGCAGCTCAGGGGTCAGAGAGCAGGCAAATTACAGGAAGAAGGCACAATACTATGAGAAATGGTGGTAGAATGGTGAGAAATAACAGAAAGAACACAAGCCTGGGAATGGTGGATCTGTGAATGCTGTACAAGCAAGCTGAATTACCCTCACAGGTCTGAGAGATGGAAAAACACTTTATTTTTCTGATATAAACATTGTTAATGGAAGTATTTTACTGCACCTACAACTTACCCATTTTTTTTAACAGGAAGAAAGAGAACTGTAAATAATAGCAAAAAAAACCCATAAAGCAGAGAGAAGATTTAGAAAATCTTAGAGAAGGATATAGGATCATAAAAAAGCAGAGCTGGTAGCAATCTTGGGAGTTTATACTCACCATTTTTTTTTACAGTTTAATCAATTTAATCAAAATATCATCACAGTGCCTTTTTTAAAAACACCAAGGATCATCTCAGAGTTAAAATGATAAGAAGAAAAAAGCATGGGCACAATGGTTTCCATAACCAACCAAAAAATGAAGCTTCAGATGTTCATTTAGGAATTGTGTTTCCCCCTCATTTTCTTTGTTTGCTGATACAAGAAGTGCACGTCCGTTTTATGGTTGCTGAGTGCTTGTGCTTGTTTCACGGACTCTACGCTGCTTCCACACTGACTACCAGAGGTGTGAGGTCCACAGGCTGAGAAACTGATTCACTTCATTCCCTGGCCCTAAAAAGGCTTCGTTGTGCATATGCTGTTCCTGACAGTTGAGTCTGCTCCTAAATTGATGGAAGCTCCACTAGGCCACCCCACCCCAGCATGGTGCCCCTATTCCAGTGCTACGCTGCAGAAGAGGGAGCAGGAAACCTCCTGAGCACATCAAGGTACAGTGTTAACTCAATTCAGAGACACCCTGCCAAGCTGCCTGTGCACCAGCTATTCAAACTGTGGCACATCTGCACAGGAACTGAAAAACTATTGCTCCAATCACTAACCTCGTAATGCCTTTGCTTCTTGTTCAGTGGTGAGAGTGCCAATGTAGGGTGATTCCCAGGTCCTCATGGAAAAGCCAACAAAAGAAAACAGAGAGGTCATAAAAATTAACCTTGCCTTGTTCAGACGACTCATCTCTTACCATAAAATAAGTAAAGCTGTAACATTAACATAGTATTGATACTCATTGCTTTTTAAGGCTCTTCAGAAACAAGTCAGGTAAGGCTTGATGAGTCATGAGGAAATACAGCCCTCCTGGTCTGCACGCTGGCCAAGTTACTCACTTCTGCCACGACTGCTGCAAGTGGTGGTGCAGCAGAGCCCGTGGCTCCCAGGCTGACGTGAGCCAAAGGTTTCCCACCCACTTCATCCTTCAGACACCTCCAGTGGAAATGGAGGCCCCTAAACAGCAGATGTAAACATACTGTTGGTGCTTGC